AAAAAAAAAAAAAAAGGTTTGATGGCTCTATAAGTTTATGTTATGTCTAGACTTCCTGTGAGGGCAAAATGCTTTTAGCTTAGCAGGCCACGCAGTCTGTTGAAACTACTTCGTTCTGCCCAGGCTGCATGAAACAAGGGGTGTGACTATGCCCCAAACTATTTGAAGAAACAGGTGGTCACCCGGAGCACACTCGTGGGCTGTAGTTGCCAATTCGTGACCTTGCCCATTTCCCTTCCCACAGAGTATCACTGGCTCGGTAAAGTTGGTGGAGGAGATAAAAATGTCGGGGCTTGCCACCTCTGAAATTTCCTGGAGTTCAGCGACTCCCCAGGTAAGTGCCTCACTCAGCTTCTTCTCTTTGTCTTGTTGGTGAATGAGCAATTTCCTTTCAATACTCCAGGTGCTGAACATTGTCTCCCGTCCCTCACATGTCTGCACTCTGTGGGTGGCTAAAGGGTGGTCAGTGTGGAGAATCAGCAGCCAGTCCTGAGGAGTCCGGGACTTAGGGTGCAAATAAGCCCCGAGACGAGACATTTACCCTCAGAGCAAAGGCGGTGCCCCAGGAAAGAAACAGAACCTTCCTCCTCCATCTCTCAGGCAGCCCTTTGGTTAGGAAGACCACTGAAGTCCAGCTTGGCCTAAGAGGAGGCCACTGGAGCAACTGGGCCACACCTATACTAATAATTCTGTGACCCATATCTGGTCACGTGACTTTCTCAGGACCTACCCCCAGGAAGCATGTGCTTGTGTGTGTGACAGCCATGTATGGCGGGGAGTGGGAGGAATATCACCTGAAAGCCCCTTTCTCATGACCAGGCATTGCAAGCAGATGACGAAATAAAGGGTGTCTAGACAGTATGCGCACGGCAGAAGCGAACCACGTCAGCTGATGAGGGATTGCTCCTCCACCTACACAAACAACTCCTGAGACTCAGCAACAAATCAGACTATCCAGCTCAAAAATGAGACAACAACCTTGAACAGACGTTTCTCCAAAGACATACAAGCGGCCGGTACACAAATGGCAGGAACTGCAAAGCAAACCCACGATGAGATGTCACTCCACCCACCGTGAGGGCGGTATGAAAGAGACACCAGCAAGTAAGGGTAACATGGAGACTGGCACCTCCTGCGCACCGCGGGCGGAGTGTACACTGGTGATGTCGCATGGTGGGTCTGTGCTTCCTAAAAAATTAATGGAATTTCTAGTGAATCCCCTTACTGCCCCTGCACCTCTGGCCTGTACCCCAGTCTTGTATGCATAAATAAACCTTTAAAAAAAATGTTAAAAAAAAAAAAAACTAACGGAATTACCATCTGACCCAGCAATAAAAGTCGGGCGTGAATAATTTTCTTATAAAAATGTTCATAGCAGCATTGTTCACAAGTCAAAAGGTGGAGACATCCTGAATGGCCCCCGCCTTGCGACCGGTCCACGCTACACACACACAATGGAGCATTGCTCAAATCCAGCCCTGAAAATAAAAGTAATTCTGACACACGCCACCACATGAGTGAGATGGAAAATTCAGGGTGGGAGTCTCACAAGGACAGAATCCCAGAGGTCAGTCGGGGTGATTAATAAATCGTAACTAACCCAGCTGTGGAAGTTTCCAGCACATCTGAAGTGGGGTCAGAAAAGAGCCTCAGCCAGAAGTGGGGCAGGAGGATTACTGATTTTAGAGCAGCCCAATCTGACCCCAAGGTGATCATTTCCACAATAATGCCATCAAGGAACATTCTAAAAATTACCCCCTGCTCCGGCAAATCGCAGCTCTCCTGCCCCTGGTCTACAGGGGACTCTTTCCTTCTCTCTTCCTGGATAAACTTGCCGTGTCCTGATCAATGGGGACATCTGCTGAATTCTCAAAGAAAGCAGTGAACCCCGTCTCCTAAGCCCCCAACAAATGAACCTTAAGGACACCATGCTATGTAAATGAGCCAGACACAAAAGGACAAGAACGGATGAGTTCACTTAAATGAGGTGCGATGTCACACTTCCAGAAACTGAACAGTGATTGTGATAACTGGGACTTATAATAAGAAAGTAATATTGGTTTTCATCCTGTTTCAGGTAAAATACCTTTTTTTTTTTTAAGACTTACTTATGCATATAGAACTGGGGTACAGGCCAGAGGTGCAAGGGTAGTTGGTAAGAGGATTCACCAGAGATAGAGTGGGGAGCAGAACAGGCAGATCTACAAAGTGCACTGCTGAGGGGAGCAGCGGGTGGGCTAGGAGAGGTCTGCCAGGCCTTGTGGGTCCGCTCCCTGGTCTGGACTTGAACTTGCGCTGAAGCGGCTGGCTCTGGCCTCATGGTGCTGTGCTTTAACCTGCTGCGCCACCAGGGAGGGCCCTGGTACAATACCTTTCTAATAGCATAAGAGATGAGAGTCACAAAGGTGTCTCTTGTATGTTAACAAGATGACTTTGACACCACACCTGAGGATGGGGGTCGACTGCCTGTGGAGCTACCGTATGATTAGAGGGGATAGGAGAAGAGGACCCAGGAGGCTGAATAAATCCCCAGTGTCCAATGATTTAACCAATCACAACCAGGTAATGAAGTTGCCACAAAAATCCCAAAGGACAAATCCAGAGGACTTCCGGGTCTGAGAACACAGGTGAGCACAGGGCGTGGTGGCTGGGTGTCCTGCCCCGTCTTGCCTGACACCTCTCCACCATCTGTACGCTCTTTTATGTCGTTTATTGTATCCTTTTACAATAAGCTGGCAAAGTTTTTAAGTTGTCCTAGAAAATTAATCAAACCCAGGAGAGGGTCATGGGAACCTCTGATTTATAGCCAGCTGGCCAGAGGGGCAGGTTACATACTGGCATGGTGCTGGGGGGAGGGGCAGTCTGGCGGGACTGAAGTCTTCATCTGTGGAGTCTGACACCAGCTCTGGGCAGGTACACTGGGGTCTTGAGACTTGTGTGTGGATGTGGGGAACCCCTAGTCCCACTCTGAACTTGGTGACAGGACGCTACAAAGAGTGGTTGCCAGGGTCGGGGGGTAGTGTTGCATGGGTACTATGTCAGCACAGGATGGTGAGAATGTTCTGGAGATGAAGGGTAGATGGTTACACAACAATGAGAAAGTGCCCAAGAGTCGATGTTACAGAACTGTACACTCAGTGACGGAAATGGTGAATGCTGCTATGGTCATTTTACCACAATTCTTAAAGAGAGGTAAGGGCTAGGGCCAAGCAATTCACAGAAATCATAACAGAGCAGACCAATGAGCTCTAAAGAAAAAGAAAGAAAAGTGAGAGGGCAGAGTTGGAGTGACTGCCCGAAATGTGCGGTGCGCAGTACTTACTGCGTGGGGAAGAACACACATGCGAACACCCAGACCTCCTCGGGGATACCTGGAAGCGCAGGTGAAGCCCAGAAGGCGCAGGGAAGGTACTTACACCTGACTTCTGGGAAGGAAGGACTGGGTGGGCTCGTACTAACAGGCCTTCTCTGTCCTGTCTTATCTTCACAAGGAAAATTCGCGGATGCATTGCTTGCATAATTAAAAATTGCTTCTAAAAGTCACATAACAGAGTGAGAGACGGCAGCACGTCCAGCCGGCGCAGCTGGGCTTCGGCTCCGGGCTGGGTCACAGAGGCGGTGAGCACAGGGCCGGTCGTGGGGCAACAGCGCCCAGCCGGCACCCCAACACCTGCGTACACGGTCCAGCGTTTCACACTGCCTCTGGGGCACTATTATTTTTTAACAGGGCAGTAAAAGAAATTATTTTCTAATTGCCTCATCCAGAAGAGCAGAAGTTGCTTCATAACGATTTCTGGGTCAAGCAAAGATCACCTGGGAAATAGCACGGTGAAGCAATATATAACTGAGTATTTTTTCAATCCAATTTTTTTCTGACCTTGAGAGCAATATATTCTTCATGTTGGAAGTTTCAGAAATATAGTTTGTTTGTTTTTTTTTATGTTTCTGAACTATCGACTGTGTAATAGCCAAATGACTACTGCTAACATTCTGGTCTTTCTCAGTCCATCCTCTATCTGTGGAAATTTTTGCTTTGCTGTTCTCAAATTACATTACTCTGTGAATCCTGCTCTTTTAAACTTAATACGATAGTCTATAGCCTCTTTCAAATGCAAAACAACACATCACAAAGATGGTTTTCATTAGCTGTGCAATATTCCATTTTTTTTGCTTCAGCATTCTACTGCTGGACAACCTAAATTCCTTCCATTGTCTCCCCATTAGAACTAGGCATCTGACCTCACTGGTGGCCTGCTGTCGGCTATCACCTCCATGGCCTGAGTTCAACCCCTGGCCAGGAAGCTGACCCACAGATGGTGCAGCAGACCTCTCCTGACCTGCCTGCTGCTCCCCTCAGCAGTGGATTTCAGTAAATTGCCTGCTTTGCTCCAGTGAATCCTCTCACCCCTGCGCCTATACACCAATTGGCCTACACACCAATTCTTCTACATTAAATAAATTGAAAATAAAAAAGAATTAGGCATCAGAGACCTTTGTGCATATACCACCATTTCTCAAATCTTGTTTTGTGGAACGGTTTAGGTTATTAACAATGCTATGGAGGGGGGTAATCGTTTTATGATCCAAGTATTTGGTTAAAATAAAGCTAGGTGACTTTTTAAACCTTATCAACCTCTCCAGATTGAGAGGCAGGGATCCACCACCCCTGGATTTGTTTGTAGAACTTGCATTTTGGGCCAGTAAAATGACCATACACATTTCTAACTATTTCTGCAAGACTCCCACACATGAAATTACTAGGTCAAGTAGGACTGAACATTTTGCAAGCTATTATGATGTTGTTCCGAACTGCTTTCCACAAAGGGCGGCCTCAGCCTGGCAGCAGTGTACGAACACAGCCCATGATCAGGTCAGACTCTGGGTTTGTCAACTTTTGCTGTCAGGCAAAAAGGAAAAAAAAGATCTCCTACTCTCATATATGGAGTTCTTTGACTATGGTCATGCTGAATATTGAGGGTTACTTATACTTAGATCTGCCTGTGCTGCTCCCACTCTGTCACTGGTGAATCCTCTTACCCCCAGCACCTCTGGCCTACACCCCAGTTCTTCTATGCAAAAATAAATAAAATCTTAAAAAAAAAAAAAAGAAGAAAGAAAGAAAAGAAAATGTACACAGGGTTCTTCCCGTTCCCAACTGGATACCTTTCAGGAGGTGCAGCAGCGTTAAGGACAAGTGCTGGTGAGGCCGAGGCTCCTGCTGCCCCTTGCTGTACTGTGTGGTGAACTCTTCCAACCAAGAGATGAAAGCTGGGCAGGCAGACAAGCCTTGCAGGAGGGAGTTCATGAAGCAGGTGTTCCCTAAGTTGACTAGGCCAGGAACAAGCCCTAAACAAACGGGGAGCGGGGTGGGAGGAGGACAGAGGAAGAGAACAGCCCATCACACTGGGTCAATCTCTAACTCCAGATGCAGAGTTTCGCATGGTAGCCTTAAATCAGAAGCCCCGGTGTGAAAACCCCTTACCCCAGAGACTGCGCAGGTACTCTGCCTGCACAGGGCTGGTCCACACTGCTCTTCATGAGACTGTAGGCGGCAGCAGGACAGAGCCCTGTCGTGGGTTATGTGTGAGACCCACCAGTGTCTGACAGCGTGGTTTGCCGTGAATGTACAAAAACACTTAGTAACATTGCTCTCTCATTCTCTTTCTCTCCTTTGATTAAAAAAAAGCACTGTTTTTCAGGCCAAAGAAAACAATCGTTCTGTTGTTGATCCCCATAACAAGAGTTTTGTTTTTATAATTGGTGGGAGACACCACGATAGCAATACTGTAGAGATCAGCAGAGTCTGACATACTTCCTTCTACTTGCTGTTAACTTTCTACTAGTAAATTGTCAACCATGTGCAAAAGAAAAACCCCAATCATAACCACTCCCAGATTTAACAATGATCAACATTTGCCATATTTATTTCCCCATTTTTGTTACTGAAATTTAATCAATAGAGCATTATTTACAAAAGGGAGTATTTTTAAAAAGAAGGAAATAGGGGGCCTCCCTGATGGCCTAGGGGTGAAGGCTCAGCACTATCACTGCTGAGGCCTGAGTTTGATCCCCACCAGGGAGCTGACTCACACAGCACAGAGGACCTCTGCTGCTCCACTCAGCAGTGGATTTCAATAGATCCGCCTGTTCTGCTCCCCACTCTGTCTGGTGAATCTTCTCACCTCCCCACCCCAACACACCTGTGGCTATACCCCATCTCCTCTACTCAAAAATAAACAAAATCTTAAAAAAGGAAATAGATTTTTGTGTCAATGAAGAAACTAATCTGGATCTTTCACTAGTGACTAGCAGCTAGTCGGCAAAACCACCATGTAACAGTCAGGCTGCTCCACTGTCCTAACGCCACACAACTGTTATATTAATGACAACACTCAGGCAATTAAGTCACATGATTTCCATTACAAAGCAGGTCTCAAACTCAGACACGGAGGGGGTAGAATATCAATCTTTTTACTACAGGGTAAAAACAACAAGTCATTAACATTAAGTTTAAAATAAAGTACTATTTAAAAAACAGGAGTAAAAGAACAAAAAATGCTCCCTCTCCCCCCAACCCCCATACTGTTTTGGGGTGTCTGGGTCAAGTCTGCAGACTGTGATCCGATGGCTCATTCTTACCTTTTCTACGTTTCTTTCTTTCTGTGATGGGACCCCAAATAACATATATTCCTGCAGCAAGAGCAGCAGCAATTCCACCTATAACACCCCAGTTCTTCATGACTTTGTATCTGAAAAACAAAGTTTACTGTCATCCCTTAACCAAACACAGTATGTGGATAAACAGGCACGGGGACAGAGAAGTAACATTTTGTTCAAATAACCCAATGACCCACCAAATACCTACGTTCCAAGTTAGACTAGTTGGCAGTAACAGGATTAGGTCCTGGAAAGCAGCATCTTATAGACTCAGGGTTCACCGAGTCAGGACACAACCTCCCAACGCCCTCTGTGCTCGGAGAAGCCAGCATCTTCCTCCTGCTCTGCCACCCACTCTGCTGCCAGCTGGCCACGCGCCAGCTCCCACTGCCGCCTCTCTCCCACTGCGGCCTCGCCCTACCTGGAATGCCCAGGTCACTACCTGGCTCCCTCCCTCCCTCCCTCCCCCCCAAGGAGGCCTGCTCCAGGCAGATTATTAGAGCCTGCACTTTATCCCCTTTAGCCATGGCATCTGGAAACTTCTCACATGACACTCACTCATCCATGCACTTGACTGTCTGTCTCCCTCAACGGGGGGGCAGAGTCACAGGCAGCAAAGACCTTGGCCTTGCTGACAGATCTCAAGTATCTAGGTCATGTCTGCACGTAGTGGGCCTCAATAACTTTTGTTTACTGAATGATGGGATACCGATGAAAATACACAGGAATTGATTTATTCTTATCCCTCCTTCAAGTGGGCATATGATAGTATCAAATGTCTACTAGGTACTTGAAAAATTTTAGACTTGAACACTGAATTTATTTTTTTACAACAAAAAAAATTTCATTGGCAATTAAAACACCAATTTTATACAAAATTAATGCATTTCCACTGAGTAGGGTCAACCATGTATGTGTGTGTCAGTGTGTGATATAGTCCTGAACACACATGTTGCATGTGTATGTATGCAATATTCTCACTGGATCACGTTAATATGTGGCCTTAGTTCAGTCTCAACGTTAACTCAGCAAAGAGTCACTGATGCTATGAGTGACCACCTAACAACAACCAACATTTTCATAACTGATATTCTACATTGCTGGCAATGAATTTCAAATCAACTTTTGTCTTCAAGATAGAGACTACAGAAAGTGAACAGAATTTGGCTAAGCAACTAGAATCACATCCATCTTGTTTAATACGGGCTTTGCTAGTTCCTAGGGCATCATTGCACCAGCTAAGCCTCAGTTTCCTCATCTGTACAACAGGAACTATCAAGAACACTATTCCAAAGGGTTCTTGTGAGGATGAAATAAATACTACTGGACAAGAGCACAGTAAAATCTTAATAAGTGCTGGTTGCTATAATTATAAGTTTCATCTCAGTTTCATTCATGAAAGTTATTTTGAGGGCCCTTCCTTGTGGCACAATGGGTTACAGCACAGTGCTGTGAAGCTCTCCGCATCCAGTGCATCACGAGTTCGATCCCCAGCCAGGGAGGTGACCACATGGCGTGGCAGACCTCTCCTGTCCCACTCGCTGCTCTCCTCAGCAGTGTACCTCAGTAGATCCTCCTGCTCTGCTCTCCTCTACTCTGTCTCTGGCCTAAACTCCAGTTCTTGTATGCATAAATAAGTAAAATCTTAAAAAGAAAACAAAGTTATTCTTGAAGTTTCTCAATGAACCCTTATGCTGATGTATACACAACAGGACAGCTAACAGGATAGTCTAGAAAGTCTGAAAAGAAACATCACTGAAATGCTAAGCATTTTATAAGTACCTTAAAATCCCTCCATCAAACACTAATATTTAAGGAACATGACTCTGTGCCAGGCACTGTGATAATCTGATGTCATCTTCAAGTCAGCCGAAGGAAGTAAGTCCTATTTTCATCTTTTCTTTTTTATAGGTTAGGAAACCAGGAGACACCGCCAAAGTGGTCAAAGTGCCCAAGGCAGCGTGGGCCTGAACTCATGCCTACTGAGCTGCCAAGTCTGTGCTTGGCTCATGAGAGAAAGTGAAGGACAGAGTGTGGAAGGAATGGAAGAAAGGACCTACCCAGGTCCTGTGCAGATTGTGGACCAAAATTTCCCAGGGCAGGTGGTTAATCTGCAGAGTAATCCCCCATTACTCTGCACAGTGATAACACAAGGAGAGTGGTGGGGCCTCGCTTCTCTCGCCTCTTCTATCAGGTCGGGGGCAGCACCACAGATGACTTAAGGCCCATTTCCCATCTGCAGGACAGGGCACTGGACAGGAGAGCCACTGAGGACTTCCAGCCCTGCCTTAATGAGCTCTTTACACCTGCTCCAGTTCCAGAGGAAGGAAACTGACCTGAGCAACAGGTCTGGGTCATCTGGGGTCATTAATGGGGGGAGAAAGGGGTTTCATGCTCGCTTAAGCATAGAGCCTGGGGGAAGGCATTAAGAGGATGGAAATGTGGTCCCTCATCAGAATGGGGACCCACACAGTAGGGGGGCCTGGCAGGAACAGGGCAGCCTTAACAGGACTGGAGCCTTAACAGGCTAAGAAATCCTGACCGGTTTAGGGACCCCTGAAAGATAAGGAGTCACTAGTAAGACTGGGGACCCATTGAGAATAGGGAAGCCCTGGCATTACTGGGGGGAATTACTGGGGGTGGGGCTAACAGAAACAGGGGTACTGACAAAATGGGATGTGAAGCGGAGGCAGGAAGCTCCCGATAATCAGAGGATTGAGAAACACTGCAGGGTTGATTAAGAAGCTTAGCAAGATGGGGGACCCGACGCGTCGGGCAATGACGTGACTAGGGGGATCCGAGAAAAACTGGGGACATTCTAAATGATGAAGGAATCCTGGATGGTCTGCAAGGCACTAAGGTGTGTGGGGGGCGGGGAGCGGCACTGAGGGAATTCGGGACATTGACTCCTGAGGGTTCCGGGAAGTTCTGGGAACAATGAGCGGTCTGGGCGAGGTACCAGCAGGTAGCAAGCGGGGTGTGTGTGTGGGGGGGGGGGCTGTCGCGTGCAGTGACAGAATGTGGGAAGTGCAGACAGAACTGGCACTGCAGGACGACTGGAGACCCTCGTGGCCCGTCGCCCTCCGCCTCACGGCCTGGTCCTCCACACCTACGGGACGCAGAAGTCTCGGGAGTGCTCACTCCGGCCCCGGGGACGCTGACGAGGGCGTGAAAAGGCCGCTGCAGGCCCAGGCTGGGGATCCGGGTCCTGGCCTCTCCGGCCGCCCCGCCCCCCAGAACTCACCTGACGGCCGCCCCGGTCCGCAGGAAGCGCTGGATGGCCCTGTCTGCCGCGGTCACCGCCGCCTGGGCCCGGGAGCTCAGCATTGCGGTCGTGCGGGAGGTCCGCACCGCCCCTGCCGCTGGCCCAGAGGACCGACCAGGGCTCTGAAAGATCCAGAGGCGGCGGAACCCACGGCTAGAGTCCCAGCAGCCAGGGGAAAGATAGGATGAAGGACGGGCGCCCGGCGAGACCGGAAATGATCTCTGCCGGAGAGCAAGAGCTGACGGACCACATCTTTGTGTTTCCTTTCCCTCCTTAGCAACCGGCACCAGTGTTAGTTGCTAAGGGTCGTCAAATGACCTGTGGCCGCTTAGTTTTCTTGTTTTTTCCCGGGCTCTGTTGATCAATACAGATACCCCATTTCCAGAAGGGAACCTAGGTCATTTTAATTTTTCGGTGTGAGGAGGGCGGCGCCCACCCGAAAGAGCAATCAAGCCTTGGCTACCATTTGTTATTATTGTCGTCAGAATGGAAATAGGTCGCAGAGGAAGGGCCTTTAATAACCAATGTTGTCCAGCGCTGACGGTATCAATAGAGAAACCGCGGCCTCTAATAAATGACAGGTACCAAACTTATGTTTATTTAAGTGCATTGCTAAGTAATCACAAGGATTGCTCACCATCTTATCCCCACCCACATTTTACAATCCGGGAAACACAAGGACTCTTAGAGAAGCAGCAAGTCACCTGACGAGACTTGTCAATGGTGGAAGCAAAATTGGCAGTCAAGTCTGGTGTGCTCAGAATAGTGCTGTCCAAACATAAACATAATGGGAGCTACATTTAAATTTTTTTCGAATAGCTACCTTAAAGTAAAAAGCAGCGGGGCCCACCCTGGTGGCGCAGCGGGTTAAAGCATTGCACTAAGAAGCTTAAGCCACTTCCTCATGAGTTCGATCCCCGCCTGCCCCGAGGTGATCCACATGGTGTGGCAGACCTCTCCTGACCCGCCCACTGCTCCCCTCAGCAGTGTACTTCATCGATCTGCCTGTTCTGCTGCCCACTCTGTCCCTGGTGAATCCTCTCAACCTCCGCATCTCTGGCCTATACCCCAGTTCTGTATGCGCAAATAAATAAATCTTTAAAAAAAAAAAAGTAAAAAGCAGCAAATGAAATCAGTTTTAATATCTCTTGATTGACTATGTCCCTATATCCCAATGATTGTCATTCCTATCTGAAATTCACTTTAAATTACTTTTTTTAAAAAAGATTTATTTATTCTTACAGAACTGGGATACAGACCAGAGGTGCAGGGGCGGTGAGAGGATTCACCAAAGACAGTGGGGAGCAGAACAGGACAACTGATGAAGTAGACGGCTGACGAAGTACACTGCTGAGGGCGCAGTGGGCGGGTCAGGAGAGGTCTGTGGCGCCATGTGGGTCACCTTGGGGCGGGGATCAAACTCACACTGAGGCGGCTGCAGCTAGCTTGCAGTGCTTCAGGGCCACTAGGGAGGGCCCTAAATTACTTTAAAAAAAAAAAAAGATTTACTTATTATTTATGCATAGAAGAAATGGGGTGTAAAGGGGTGAGACAAGATTGCTCTGTGAGTGCGAGCCATGTGCTTTAGCTCCCTGGCCTGGGATGGAACTCATGCCTCAAAGGTGATACTGAAACTTAACCTTTAGGCCACCAGGGACCACCCCCCCTCCTTTTTTTTTTTTTTTAAGAAGTATATCTCAGTTTGCACCAGTGGTTTTTTAATGTGCTCAAAATTCACAAAGGGCCAGTTGTTACTGATGTCAATTGGATGTTTCAGGTTCAGTGGGTGGGATCCTTATCTCTGGAAAATTTAACCAGAGTTTCCCTTTCAGCTGCACAGCAAGTAGTCCCACAGGCAAAGATTTGGTCGTATCCAAAAGGGTAGGTTTATTATATTAAAAATGGCAGGGAGAAGAGGCTTGTACAGACACAGCAAGCAGAGAAAGCTGCTGTTGCTGTTTGCAAAGAAGAAAAGGTATGTGGGGGGAAATGCCTGCAAAGTAATAGGTGGGCAGGAAAGCTGTCCTTTGACGGTGTGAAATTGTACTGGTACGGTGTTCTTTTGGGGAGGGGTGTATTCCTTGGTGGTTGTTAGCGTTGATTACTTCTAGGGTGTAACTAGGTTGATTTGTAAGGAGCCAGCGATTCTCTACCACGTCCCTCCCAAAAGGGCCTCTTTATACTGCTAGAAAAAGAGGAGGCCGAGAGTATCAGACTGAAGCAGATTTTATTGAAAGTCTGTGAGGTGACAACTCTGTAGGCCTAGAGTCGCACCCCAAAACGGGAGCGTGGGTCTTTATGGGGTCAGGTTACTGCAGCAATTTTTTGGAGCATGAGGGAAGAGGGCGGCAAGGAGGTGGGGTTCTCCTGCCCGGAGGGGCTGCTGGCGTTCCTCATACAGGGAGCAGTATCTTTCCTCTTCGGGCTTTCGTTGGCATCCTCTCCTGGTCCGGCCTCTCTCTAGTCACTCACCCTCTCGTCACTGTTCTGCCATTGCTGCCCTCTGTGTGGCGCCGCCCTTCTAGAGGCAGCCTCCAGGCTCAGGTGTGCCCACTTACACATGCCCACCCGTACGCCAGGTGTCCACCGTCAGGCATGGTGCCTCAAGCCCCAGCGCCTCCTGTATTCAAGGTGTAAAAAGCCTGAGCATCTCCATTTGCCCTACAAGAGTCCTGGAGCCCTCAGTGGGTTTTACGGGCCTTTCATGCTCTCTCAGGAACTGGATACACAGACTCACAGGCAGGGAGCTGGCATGCAAGGAGGCAGGCACAGGCCTGGCAGAAGTAGGGGGCGCAGGTGGGGCCGGAGGCTGGCAAACCTGACCTCCAGCGAATCTTTGTGTCTCTTTCTGGCCCCTCTCTGGCATTCTCTTAGTCTCGTGCCAGCTGGCGGTCTCACCCCCAAGTGGTGCTCCCATCATTGTAGTAGTCTTCTGAGTGGTCTGCTTAGCGATGCCACCCTTTTAGCCATCTCTCTGGGCCCAGCTGTGAGCATTTACACTTGTGCACCCAGATGCTCTCAGGGCCATCATCAAAGGCCCGTATACCCCAAGCCTGCACCTCTTGGCACAGGGGCCCACAGACTGTTTGGGTGGGGAGAAGCCTGTTTTTTTTTTTAATCCATTCATTTATGCGTACAAAACTGGGCTACAGGCCAGAGGTGCAGGGGTAGTGAGAGAATTCACCAGGGACAGAGTGGGGAGCAGAACAGGCAGATCGAAGTACACTGAGGAGTGGAGCAGCGGGCAGGTCAGGAGAGGTCTGCCACGCCATGTGGTCACCTCCGGGGCAGGAGTCGAACTCATGCTAAAGTGGCTTTAGCTTCCAGTCGCTGTGGTTTAACCCATGTGTCTTCAGGGAGTCTGATTCTTAACTCATTTACTTAACCTGTGAGCAGTCTATAGAAGTTGATGCAGAGTTTGAGATGAGAGGACTCCCCTCTTCCCTGGAGCATTCTAGAGACCAGGAGCTCCTTCCTCAAATGCTCCCCTTACCCTGAGAGGTAAAGGCCAGCCTGTGGCTGGCCGGAGCTGGCCACTCTCCCGACTTACCCTGGGGAACACTTTGGGTCCCTTTGTTCTCAGCTTCGCAGGAGGGTCCCTGCGGGAAAAACCAGAGGATCCTTTCATGGATCCTTTCACGACATGCCTGCTTTTGTTCCCAGGTGGGGAGAATAAAAACAGGAGGAGTCTAGCACTAGCGGAATTTTTTTTCCTTTTGTGGTTGTTTTGGAGACAAGAACAAAAAAAAGAACAAAATAGCTCAGAAAGGTGAAATCCTGCCTCACACAGTGCTTCAGAACTCTCCTGGGCCCTCTGTTGCTGGTGGGTACCCCCAGCTTTCCTGTGGCATTGCAGCTGACCCCAGTCATGTCGGCAATGCATCCTTGGTACCGGTTCTCCCTCCTCCCCAAACCCAGGCTGGAACTGACCCCTGGACTCAAGTAGTGTGATGGGTCAGCACTGTCTCTTTGACTTCTAAAGGTTGAGCAGTGGCGCGAAGGATTTCCTTTGTAAAAACATGCCCACCCTCACTGTTCAAAGCGGATCCTTTGGGAAGTCAAAAGGTGTGTTACTGATAATCCTATAAAACCCTGGCCCGTTCACTGGCATAACAGGACTGTCTCCAAGGGTCACCATGGTCTCAGGGCTGAAATAAAGAAACCCTTAATTTTAGATGGATACCAAAACTTACGGCTGACTTGCCATGGTTCCTTGGGGCTGATGGTTAAAAATATGCATTTAGTTAACTGGGCCACAGTGCCCATTTTTTTTAAAGATTTATTTTTATGTATGCATACAAGAACTGGGGTACAGGCCAGAGGTGTGGGAGGTGAGAGGCTTCACCAGAGACAGAGTGGGGAGCAGAACATGTGGACTGACCAAAATACAATGTTGAGGGGAGCAGGTGGATCAGAAGAGGTCTGCTGCGCCATGTGGGTCAGCTCCCTGACCGGGGATCGAACTCATGCTGCAGTGACTGCTGATAGCTTCATAGTGCTGCGCTTTGACTGGTGGCACCACCAGGGAGGGCCTGTGTGCAGGTACTTGGTCAAACATTCTGAGTGTTTCTGTGAGGGTATTTTAGAGGAGATTAAAATTTAGATAAATTTAAATGCTTAAGTAAATGTATATTTTTATTTTTATCCAAACATGTTAAATGTAACATTTAAATTGAAATTCCTTTTGAGGAAAGCAGCTTACTTTCCCTGGTGTGGGTGGGCCTCACCCAATCAGTTGAAGGCCTGAATAAAACGAAGAGACTGACAACCTCCAAGCACAGGGAATTCTGCTGGTGGGACACTTAGACAGAAACTGTCACGTTACCTCTTCCCTGGGTTGCTGGCTTGTTAGTATACCTGCACATTTTTGACTTGCTAGTTTCCAGAATCATATGGGCCAATTATTTAAAATAAAATAGACATGTATGGATTATACACAGAGAGAAAGAGAAATTTTGTATCTATACAAAAGCAATAGGATTTTCTCTATAAAATATATATGTAGGTTTTATAGGGTATATGTATGTGTACACACACACACAGCCTATAAAACCCTGGCCAGTCACTGGGTTTCACAATATCCTTGCCATAACAATTGCAACCTCTT